ATCCTAGGGAAAATGAACAAAACTTAAAAAAACTTAACAAAGGGAAACCCAAATCCTTTTACACCTGGCTGTAGCTGTCCAGGCTTGCTTAACATTAAAATACTGTTTAAAAAAAAAAAGGCCAAATCAGATTTCACAAACTAATCTATGTGGCTTATAAAAAGGTAATAACTTGGTTTGTCAAACAGTTGGCGGTCTGATTTCCCACTTAAAATTTTGCTACCCTGAATTATTATAATCTTTCAAATGTAAGGGAAAGTAGAGGCAAAGCCTTGCCCTTAACTTTTTCTGGGATCTCTTGTGTGCTTGAAATGGACTCTGATACCTTCAGAATTTGCTCTTGCCTTGAAGCAATAGACAAGTATGTGCTGCTCTGTTCTAAATATGGGAACAGCAAGTACAAATAGAAGATTGAAGATTTGCTTTGAAGCTCGATGTTGCCAATGCTGGAAGCAGGCAGCCGGGCCCTGCACAGTGAGAGCTTCCTGCTTTTAACGGTAACATATTAATTCTGGGCAGTGTCTGGTTAGACCGAAGGTCAAGAATCTGATTTTGACCTTAGTATTAAGAGGAATTCCATGTGAATCCTAAGAGTGACTGAGTGAGTACTGTAATATTACTGCTAATTTATAATGATGATACTGTCCCAAGTTTCTTGTTTTAGTGCTTTTATCTCCCAGAGGTTTCAAATCACTTCACAGACCAATCATTTCCCCCACTGTTGACCTGTAATCAACTCAGGCACAGAATATTGCTCTATTGTCAAGAATATAGCCACAGTAAGCCTGTTTAAGCATGAACTGAAGAAAGATACCCGCTGAAAATTAAAGTGTAAATTTTTGGTAGGCAGGTTATAATTAGCCACTTGAAATCGAGCCAAGAAATGAAGTTTAATACCCTTCTTCTGTGAAAAGCACCCGGGCAGCTTTCCTGACCATAAACAGACTTCAGGTCGTCACCTCCTCTAACTCAGGGTTTTTCAGCCTCAGCACTATTGACATTTTGAACGGGGTAATTTTCTGCTGTGGGGCAGAGGGGCTGTCTTGTGCACTACAGGATGATTAGCAGCATCCCTGGCCCACTAAATGCCAGTAGAACATGCACACGCGCACACACATAGAATTGGGACAACTGATTAGGATTCAAAGAAACTTCAATTATGAAATGGATCTTCTATCATAACCTTGATTATGAAATAGGGACCTGAAATTAGTTCCTAACCCCCCTCAAATTAAAGAAAATAGACAACTCTAGATTATCAAATGCACCCTCCCCTGGGTGGCAGGGGATCTCTTCCTGGCATGTAACTTCCCCCAAAGGACTGCTGTGAGTTATTACAGCTAGCACTGCAACATCCAGGCATCCACTGTGCCCACCT